TGCCCTTTAGCCTCTTGAAAGGTAAAAATTCTATGTAGGTTTTATGTACATTGAAACATTTCTTTCATTCTTTAGATGTGCCCTTGTAATAATAATCCCCACTCCCTCCTTTCAGATTTAACCATGTTTTCATTGAACATTCYCTTCCCTAGTACCACACACCAAAAAAAAAAAAAAAATTGAGGGTTTTGTTGAATGTGCTGCATTAACCTACATCCTCAATAAGCTTATGGAATAAATGAATTGACTAATCCCTAAAGGAAACATGCTTCTGATATTATGTGTCCACATTATTAAACAGTTAGATATAAATAATAATAATATGACTTTATTAACCAAATGTTTACCATTTTAAAATAAAAAGAATCTTTATACTCTCTGCAACCCAATAGTCATTCATATAAAGAAAATCATCAAAGAAGAATGCCTAACTCAAAATTTATGCTTGAAGACTGGAAATATCATATATATATATATATATATATATATATATATATATATATATATATATATATAAAATTGGTGGAAATTATATATAATATATATATTATATATAATTTGCTTATATTAAACATTTATTTTACTGAATTTTTCCATTTAATTTGAATGATTCTTCAAAAGCTATTAATGAATTTAATATATTTTTTTCTTTTGGCATTTTCTTTCTTTCTCTGTATATTTTTTTTCCTTCTGTGGAAGATTTGATCTCAAATTCTAATAGTTCTCTCTCAAGGAAAGCCTTTGTTTCCAGAGTAAGCTCCAGGTGCCTCTCTGTAAAAAGTCTTTAATAACATCTTCTGCAACTTTTGAAGGACACTGCACTGAAATTTATTCTGTGAGCCACTGTACTTTGTCTGAGTGAGGATTTCAAAGAGTTATTTTATAAAGTTTGATGTTGTCACTAGTAACCAACACATTATACTCTCATTTTAATTCTTGTAATGTTTTTCTTCTTGTCTGAACAAGGTAATGGGCATGACCAATAGCAGTGCCAAAGAAGACTTTGTTCTGGTGGGCTTCTCAGACCAGCCCCAGCTGGAAAAGATACTCTTTGTGGCTGTTTTGATATCCTACCTTCTTACGTTGGTGGGAAATACACTAATTATTCTGGTTTCTTCCATAGACCCTACACTCAAAATACCCATGTACATTTTCCTTACTCACCTCTCCCTAGTAGACATCTGTTTTACCACCAGTATTGTCCCTCAGCTGCTGTGGAACCTCAAAGGACCAGCCAAGACCATCACATCCCTGGGTTRTGCCATCCAGCTCTATGTCTCCCTGGCATTGGGATCCACTGAATGTGTTCTCCTGGCTGTGATGGCTTTGGACCACTATGCTGCAGTGTGCWGACCTCTCCACTATACAGCTGTAATGAACCCACGYTTGTGCCAGGTCCTGGCAGGGGTCACATGGCTGAGTGGARCAGGAAATGATCTCATCCAGGGCACTGTGACCCTCTGGCTACCTCTCTGTGGACACCAGTGGCTTCATCATTTCTTCTGTGAAGTCCCCTCCATGATTAAGCTTGCATGTATGGACATCCATGCCAATGAGATCCAGCTCTTCGTTGCTTCATTGGTCTTGCTCCTTTTGCCCTTGGCACTGATATTCATATCCTACGGACATATAGCCAAGGCAGTTATAAGCATCAAATCAGTGCAGCCTGGCACAAAGCCCTGGGGACATGTGGATSCCACTTGACAATAGTATCTCTCTTCTATGGGAGTATCACAGTCATCTACATCCAACCTAACAGTTCTTATGCCCACAYGTATGGGAAGTTCATCTCCCTCTTCTACACAGTCATCACCCCGACCTTCAATCCTCTTATTTATACCCTGAGGAACAAAGAAGTCAAAGGTGCACTAGGAAGAATATGCCACAGAGACTTATGTGCATAAAAAATGAAGCAATGTACATCACAAGTCTCTTAAGTATCATCTTGTATAATCTAGGACAATTCATAATAGCTAAACTGTGGATCCAAACTAGATGCCCTTCAATAGATGAATAAATTTTAAAAATGTGGCAGATGTGCACAATGTAATTTTACTCAGCAATAAAGGAGAATAAAATCATGGCATTTGCAGGTAAATGGATGGTGTTGAAGATGATAATGCTAAGTGAAGTTAGCCAACACCCACACAAAAAAAATGCCAAATGTTTTCTCTAATACAAGGAGTCTGACTCATGGTGGGGTAGGGAGGGGGAGCATGGGAGGAATAGAAGAATTCTAGATAGGGAAGAGGGGTGGGAGGGTAAGGGAGGGGGTAGGGGATTAGCAAGGATGGTGGAATGTGATGGACATCATTATACAAAGTACATGTATGAAGACACGAATTGGGTGTCAAAATACTTTATATACAAACAGAGATATAAAAAATTGTGGTATATATGTGTAATAAGAATTGCAATGTACTTTGCTGTCATTTATTTATTTTTAAAAATCAATAATAAAAAAAGTCCAAATCATAAACCTTTATAAATATTCTATAATATTCTATAATATATTCTATAATTCTGTATTCAGTATTTACAAAAATATGAATCAGAATTTATTATTTCCCTAGCACTTTCTGATTAAAATTAAAAAATAAGAGACTCTCCTGAAAGAAACATTGAATAAGCCCCCAAATCGTACAGGTTAGAAGGAGTTTAAACACCAGGATTATAAGTTCCTGGCAAAGACATTCTCCACATACAGTTGACCATTTTCACTATTCTTTAACTCAGGGAAAAAGAATGCAGGGAATCAGACGGCCTGGACTAAATACTGATCCATCTTGTACTTGGCRTGGGGATGAGATGGTGCAGACTTCTATTCCTTGATTTCCACAGGTATAGGATGAGGAAAGTAGCAGCACAGGGAAAGTTTTCAAGGTCAGATTAAACAATACGTTTAATAAGCATGAACTGTCACTTTTGTATTGTCCAATTTAAGTAAATGGTAGTGATTTTTGTTGTTGTTTTGTTGTTGTTTTTGTTATAACTAGTGCTAAGTAAATGTCTACTAAATGTTCTTGAAATCAGACATCACAGAGTCTGACATTCAAAGTTAGTAAGAAATTTCTAACTATTTAGAAATATTTAATAAACTATTGAGCATAGATTAATTAATTATAATAGAGATATTTAAGACATTTAACCTCAAAATGTCCTAAATATGAATTTCTGATGCTTTTCAGAATTAATTGGTGTCAAAGCATTATGTTTTGATAATATATCATGGGATTGATTGGTATATAAATATGTAATTAGCAAATAAAAATAAACAAAAAGACTAAAATAAATTAAATATTTGCATTGATTATTGCTGGATTGCAAAATATACTGAAATAAATTAGAATTTTTACTTTTTTATACTTTATAAATTGTTATGGAAAAGATGCATTTTTATATTTGTTTTGAGAAAAAGTCTGCAATGAAATGTTTTATTATTTTTAATATACATGAGTTACATTTTTATTGAAGAAACCTTCAAAACAAAAGAAAAAATCACCAATTACGTGACTGACTAGAGAAACTACTGTTAACATTTCATTTTGATCCTTTCAAATTTATTTATACAGTTCTTAAAAAATAAAAAGGGCCTCTTATACAAACTGTTTTTAATTCACTAATTCTTACTAAATCATTCATTTTTGCTACACTAATAAATAGAAATCATCATCATCTCTAATATCTGCACATAATTCCTTTCAATAATTGTAGCATAACTGCCAACCATTAAGCTATTTTTGCACGTTTAGATTATTTCCATTGTTAATTAATGAACATTCAGGTGAAAAACATATCTTTACATTAATTGAACAGTGTTTGGTCAAATAAGGGTATCTAGTAAAACACACATCTTGATCATTAGTGAGCATTACTATTATCCCCTGATGGTAGAAATATTACATTATGAGAGATTATATCCTACAGTTGGCAGATAACCTTAAGTCATGGTAGCATCAGAGTTTTCCATTTGTAACTATTTTTCATCTTTAACTATTACATGAATAGCTATTAACTCCTCCTAAGTTGCCTTCCTGACAACTAGATGTTCAAATCTAAGACAATGCCTTTATAGGTGCCTTGGGTTACTGAAGTATATTGTAATCATGTTCATTTCCCTGAAGAACAAGTTTTTGGATGATCTCTAAATGATTGAGTCAGGATTCATCTGCACACATGAAATTTTGTAAATTATATAAAAATCTTAAAAATGATTTATAGTAATAATTTTTAGTTTAGTTTTCTTCTTTTGTCTTTGAATTTTAATATCATTTCTGTTTCTTAAAAAGTTTTTTTCCATGGAAACTCTTGATGAAAATATCACATATCTTCTTTTTAATATTTTATAGCAAATACCTCTAAAACCAAAGTTTGGTTGTTCTGAAGTGTTTATAAATTTTTATGGTATGCACAGTTCACAAAAAGAATTCTTTGACCTGTATTATGTGCCAATAATTATGGTTGAAGAATTTGAAAACATTTTTATGAAAGGAAATAATGTATTTCATAGAGTTATTAAGGAATTAAGTGCTATATGGGACAGTCATGTGTGGAGGGCAGAAGTCAGATGGGTGCTCAAAGTCTAGAACAGGTCTGAGAATGTGGAGTGAGAATTTTCCAAACTTCTGAGACATAACCTGGTAATTTTAACTTCCAACCTAGACTAAAATATTTTGGAAAACCTGTCTAGTGTTAGACTTAACTTCTAAAATTTTTTAGAAGCCAGGTTCCTTTCAGAATTTGCAATCAGAAAATAGCTCTGAATATAAAGTATGTTCACGCCAAAGTATGCCACTATTGTCATGTATGTAAGAAATAAATAAAAAATTTTTTTAAAAAGAAAATAGCTCTGAGTACAGTGATAACTCCAAAATTACAATGATAGTTATAAAAAAAATGCTCCTTACAAGACATGAAAAAGTGCATAGTTTTTTATTTGTTCACTCTTGGGTTGAGTGTGCCTCTTTTTCAAAGAGCAAATAAGCATGGTCCTCTGGTACCTATCCATGGTTCAAAATCTTTCTTTTACCCAGCGTTCTCTGGAGAGCTGCCTTGATTTCCTTGTTTCGTAAACTATAGATGATGGGGTTGAGCATGGATGTCACCACGGTATAGAAGAGGGCTAGCAGTTTATCCCTACCTGGTGAGTGGCTAGCCTTGGGCCTCAAGTAGGTAACAGAACCTGAGCCATAGAAGAGCGTTACTACAAGTAAGTGGGAAGAACAGGTGGAGAGAGCTTTCCGCGGCCCTCAGGGGAGGGCATGACCAGGACTGCAGCTAGAATTCTGCCATAGGAAGCAATGATCAATAAAAATGGGCTGGAAATGCAAAGGATTGCCACCACAAAGACCRCAGCCTCATTATGGGATGTATCCCCACAAGCAAGTGCCAGGATAGGTGGGAGATCACAGAAGAAGTGGTCTATCTCACAGGGGCCACAGAAGTCTAAGGHGAAAATATAATTGGTTTGGCCCAAGCCTACCATGCATCCCACTGTCCAAGAAACCACTGCCAAATGGGCACACACCCCACGACTCATTCGTGTTGCATAGTGGAGTGGGGAACATATGGCCATATAGCGGTCAAAAGCCATGGCTGCCAAAAGGCAGCACTCACTGATAGCAAATAATGTAAAGAAAAACATCTGTGTGGCACAACCCTCCCGAGAGATTCCTCGGGCCTCACTCACAAGACTCTGCAGCATCTTGGGTATGACAGAGCAAGTGTAGCCAATCTCTAGGAGAGACAGGTTGGCCAGGAAGAAGTACATGGGGGTATGAAGGACTGGGTTAGTCCAGATGGCAAGGGCTATGAGGGCATTGCCCATCAGTGATGCGAGGAACATGAGTAGGATGAGGGTAAATAGAAGGAAACACTGTTCAGTGACCTCAGAGAATTTGGCAAATGCAAAACGTTTTACAAACAAGCTGTTGTCCTGCCAGGAGGAGCAATTGAGGCTCATGTCCTGTAAAAAAGAACAGCAGAGTAACTGGAAGAATTCTTCAGATGAGGGAAATAGATCATTGCATGATTTTTGAAAAACTCAGGAGAAATTTCTTACCTGTGATTCTAAAGTTCAGAAATTACTACTCATTCTCATATCTTTTTAAACCAAATCCTTTTCTGTGTTCACCACTTCAGTTGATTTCTCCAAAATGTACTTAGCTACCAAGCAAGAAATGGAAAAAAAAATGTTAATTGCATTTCAGTTCTCCATGCCTTCCTTTAAAAATCAGTTGTCAAATGCTACCAAATGAAAGTCCTCGTTTCTGTCCATTCCCATTCCACTGATGTTCTTTCTTTACTGGTTTATTCACCAGATTTTAAGTTCAGACTGTATTGTATTTACCCTTGTAGGCATTGGGGTTAGCAATGAACAAAAAACATTTCTCTACAAATAAGGCTTACACTTTAGTGAAGGAAAACAGAAGTAAATAATTGCTGCAATGTATAGAGTTAAAACTAGAATATGTTGTGGTGACTGACCAAGTTTAAATTGGTGATGGGGGGAGGGTCCTTGAGAATGAGAAGCATGAGGTGAAAGAGGAAGGGCAGTCTTGCAAAGGCTGCATCACAGCCAGAGACATTGTATCTATGCTGTACTGCTGAGATAATTACAGTTCTGGAATTAATTTATTCATTAATTTATTCATCTTAGTGTATTTCACCTTCCATTCTTTATATACCAAAGCATTTTTACTAAATGAAAATGATCATTTCCTTCAAGTTAAAGTTCGCATTTCTTAATGAGAATTTAAGAATCAGGTCACTTACAATTAGTAGACTTTTTTGTAATCTCATTCCTTACTCAGGTGGACCTTACGTTACAGTTTCTTCAAACTGCTTGCACCATTTAATACATACCTGGCTTGCATACATTTTGTTTTCTTTGTGCTAATTTTTATCTAGGGCCTTGGTGATTGCCTCCCTGATTATTTACCTGGTCAACTGCCTTTCTATGTTTAAATTCCAGAATAGCTTTGTCTCCTCTCTAGAAGCCCTTCCTGACCTCTGCCTTTCTTTGTTTCTATACTAGTCTGTTACATCCCACCCATCTGCATTCCCATCACCCTATAACTGCTTTGATAGCATATACACTATTCTGTGATGTTGGTTTGCTTATATGAGACTAGCCTTAGACAAAGACACCGGTATGGGATTTTATTCATTTATTTGCTTTTGTTTACCATTATATCTACCAGTCTTACCAATCAGCAAGTTCTCATGTGACAAACTCTGACTACCTATACATATTCTGATCATTTTGCATATTAGGTTTCCTGACGTTCATCTGATCTCTCTCAACTATCTAAAACGTGAGTTATTTTTTTCTAAATCTGATGATTACCAGCTTTTGATGAGATATTCCTTGCTCTTTTGTGGGTGTACTAAAGTTTGGATTGTTCATTTTGAAATGTCACTAACTAAAAATCTAAGCAATATTTTCCCTGAACAGGGAAGAGGATAAGGAGATATCAATTTGATTGATATCTTGGCATAACCCAAATTCATGTTTAAGCTGCATTTTTAATATCACATCATTATTTCTACCACATTTAAACTGGTATATTCAAACATAGGCTTTTAGAGGTACTAAATTATTTTGAGCAAACAAAAAGCATACTTGCATTTACAAAAATATGTAAAAAGTGCACATTTTCACTTATACAAATATATATTTATACCTATTGGTAGAAATACATACACAAAAATACACACTGAGTGCTATGTGGTTAAGAATATTCTGGAGAGGGCTGGGGATGTGATTCAGTGGCAAAATGCTTGCCTGGCATGCATAAAGCCCTGGATTTTTTACTCCCAGGACTGATGGGGAGAAAAAAAAGAGAAGAAAAATACTATGGAATTATTATATATGGGTTCAAATCTTAGACTATCCATCTAATGCTGGGTTGAAGTTAACATTTACTTAAACTCTGTTCTCAATTTGCTCATTTACAGAATGAGATGATAATATATTTTCCATGAAGTTGTTGGAAGGATTGAGTTAATTCCCATGTGCACTTAAAAAAGTGATTAAATGCTCAAGCATTACTACACAACATATGCACATATGTACACATATGTACAGGCTCTGTCTCAGTAGATTTACCTTGTATCTTCTCCCTTTGGAGAATTTTACATTACAATCTATAATCTTTTCTCCTATTCATCAACTTCATCTTTTTCTCATGATTTTTCTATTCATCTACCATCATGGAGAGAGGAAAAGCAAATAATATATACAAACAAACAATTGCCTGCTGCTGGAATTTTATGCCCTGGACAAAAGAAGTGTGCATTGTTGGTCATTTTTTAAATTTTTTAAGTTGATTGTCCAAAAATCTCTGCAAATTTTCCAAAATTTAAGTATGGAGAACAAGTAAACTGATAAAAATCTCTATTACATATGAAGCTGCAACTCTGTATAATTATATGAACTCACAATGAACATGGCTAGTATAAAATTTCTTAACATTGAGTAGTCTATTAGGATGCATTAACACTTATCTGAAAGCACTTATAAACACTTTCCTTCCACTATGATTGATTTAAACATCTATATTTCTCATGTAGTAACACAATTCACTTAAGGCGAAGCCAAATAAAATTAAGATAATGGTTAACTTATTTTTTAAACACAAAGATTTTTTCAACTATCTTAACTCTTCAATAATAGGTTATAGGTTATATGTTATGCAGTTACATAGAGGGCTCTGTGGAGATGTTTTCATCTTGTTTCATAAGTTAAATTTGCAGGTATAAATGTTACCCATTGTATAGTCCTGCCTTTGGGAGGAACTGCAGTTTTCTTGAGGATACTAATGGAGAGAACAAGTGGTATGGTTCAGCCRATTTCTTAATCTCATGAAGATTTCCTTCCATGAATGTCTTTGTCCTATTTAGACTGTTACAGCAAATGCATATCCTTGTTTTGGAGGTGAGGRTCAAACATATTGGGGAAAGGGAGAAACTGACTGGTGGATGGGACACAGCTTTATATAACAATAACATTTTTTGTAAAAGAATGTTTCATTTTCATTATTACCCATATTTGGAGATTAATATGTTACAAAAACTGTCAAAGGTCTTCAGAAAGCAGCTTTGTCAAGCAACCAGAAAAACCCAGCATGCAAATCACCTTTGCCTCTCATCTTATACATTTCTTAACTTAAAGTTTCTGATTATTTCCTCATAAAGATAGAATGATTCAGCCCTTCTTATCTTTTTTGTTATGCTGTATTGACTAAAAATTACAAAATTATAGAGGCAAACCATGAAAAAACAGTAAACAGTGGCCATTAAAAATGCAAAACATTTTGCCCTTTGAAGCTTCATGTTAAAGTATTCATGGGTTATTCTATATTATATATTATTATTGATCTATAAAATAGTCTATATTAAGAGTTAGAATAAAGTCATTTAAATAGGTACTATGATGTAATGTGAACAAACAGCAATTCCATACATGATAATAAATTATGTTTTATCTCTACTGCTATACAATGTTATAACGAAGCTGTTAAAAACTGGTGAGGTTGTGAAGGTTTGAATCATGAAATATTTTTTTTCGTGGTAGTTGGATATATGAAAGAGAGGAGGAAGAAGATACTTTTAATCGTTCAAAAAATAGATCAATGATTGACTTCACATGCTACTTTACACAGCTCCAAGATTCAAGATAGATATACTCTTTATAGTTATTATTTGGAAATAATAAGGGAAAGCATATTCATTTTGGATTGTTGTCACATAATTATAAATATTAATTGACTGTCCCAGTTTATTATTTCATCTGTTTTTGTCATGAAATGTTTCTTTACTTCCTATCAGCCAAAGGAAAATATATGCTATACAGTTAGATAATGCATCTGAAACACTTGGTATAGTGCTTCGCACTTGGAAACAGTCCATAAATGTTAACCTTCATTATTCTGCAGTTGTTATTTCTAAAATGGTTTAATAGTGCATAAAATTTGTAACAATTGTTCATGAAAAGATTATTAGGCGCATTGTCTATTTACACAGTTACCCCAGACTCACTTCATCAAGGTCTTAACAAAAACCAGTAGAATTGTTTTAGTACCTTATTGAATTGCCATGTACAGGATAATCTGGGTATTTCCATTCTCCAACAATAAGATAAATATTATTTTCTATGAAGAAATTAGTTGTTTAAACCAACTCACAGCTATTTTCTGAAAGAGGAATATGCCTCTGAATAAAGTGTTACACTTCTCAGAGAAGAAGACAGTAACTAATTAAAATAATGACGAGAAATAGAAATGCTTTAAGTATCAGCTATCCATTTTCACACTTTAATGTACTGTTTTCAAAAGTCCTCTATTCTTAACACATAAGCAATGATACATACCTTGAGTCATAAAATTTAATGGGAGAAGTAGCTGATTATTGTTTCTGATGAGTATGCCCTGATTTTCTCTGTATTTCATCCTGAAATTCAGAGGATGTAAATCTTCCTTATCCTCATCTTTCAGATGGTGCATCTAGAAGCCTTTGTTGTAGACAGGGACCATGTCTGATCTCAGGAATATTTCATGTCTCCTGAGTACTGTGTCCCTCCTAGCAATGTCCCCAGTTACCTACCCACCCCACATTTACAAACTGGAGAGAGAGAAGCATACAGAGCCATACTGGTCATATGATAGTACTTTTGAACTAAATTTAAAATCCTTTATAAATTCTGTCATTCAATTAAATTCAATTAAATTCTGTCTTCCAATCTGAAGTGGGAACTTTTGCAGTTCTCTAACCCCATGCTTTCTTCAGAACATATCACTGAGAAGGAAGGAACACGTGACACACATGTTAACATTCCATCTTAGGCTTACAGCAGAGATAGTAAATCAATCCCAGAATTTATTTCATTGAATTTTTACTTTACTCAGCATCCTCCCAAATTGGCACATAATACAAAAATACTTCAGAGTCTCTTTCTTGGAATGCAGAGGACGCAATGGATTG